ACTCGGTCAAATACAAACACGCCTAAAATCACCCATTCATTTATTACCCCAGTAACGGTTACGCGAATCTCTGCTAGAGTTAGCGACTGACTCGCCGTTACACCGTTACAATAGTAAACTATGGATTTCTTAAAAATGTAGATTGTGCAGGTGTTGAAGGGGATCCTGCTTATCAGTTCCTTATCTTTTCGATTGCCAGGAGAAATAAGCGGCGCTGCACAAGTAGCACAAAACGCAATAAATTTAAACATGTCGTTATTTCTCAGGATAAAGTTTTTATTATCTTAGATGAACCTTATTGTAGCCATGCAATGGAATCTGTACAACAAAAGTTTGAGGCGCAATACGAATTAGATTGAAGTTTGACCGAGTATCGAAAAGGTATTTTAATGGACCTGAGCAGTGACCAAAAAATCTTTGCAGCAGCTGGACGTTTAAATACAAAGCAGGAAGCAGATTTGAATACAAAGCAGGAAAGAGATTTTGATACAATGCAAAAAGGATTTTCGGATACAGTACAGTAAATAAATTCAAGAGTCTATTTTTATTCAACTCAATCTGGTACAATGATAGGAAATCGTAAATACTATTTACCCACAAGTAAATTACCCAATTATATTACAGTACTAACCTATAGATCAATTTAATAAAATCGTTTTATGAAAAGTTTTACGAAAAAAAAGTCCTATAAAAATTAATTAGTAAGATACGTTTTACTAAATTAGAAAAAGAGGAAATACTCTATCTATTTTGGACAGGAGGAAACATCTTATGCAATTACTCCACCTACATTATCCTCTTTACCCAAGCTCTATTTTCTGCCGAATTCTCTGTCAAAATATTCAGATTTCCCTTTTCCGGCCGAGATTAATTTTATTCTACAATATCATAACGATCAGTCCCTTAAAAATAAATTAAACGTTGAACACGACTTAGATTCTTTTGACGAAGAGAAGTGGAAAAGGACACTCGTGATGAAAATGGAGTTGATTCACAACGACAAGATATAACAAAACATATAGATAATATTCTAAAAAAACATGAATCAAAACTGATCGAGCAATCGCTATCGTCAACCCATCGATTGTTAACCCAGGATTCGTCATTACCGGAGTCGTTAAATGGTAATCAATATATCTGGACTGTTCGAAACGCTTCTCATGACAATATTTTAGTAGCTGGAATAACTGCTAGACAGACTGCGACGGATGCAGAAATAGGAAATGTATTAATATATTTACACGTGAACAAAAAAGAAGATATTAAAGGAGAATATATACTACTGGAAAACGATGATTTGATGTTGGTCGCCTCCTTCGGAGTACAAATCTGGACAGTAAAAGATAACTCCGTTTATCTACTTTATTATTGGGCTTATTTGACAATGCATTACAGATTGGATGAGCCGATGGAGGCTATGGTTAAACAACTTACTTTACTAATGACGAAATTAAAATCCGAAGATTATAAACACTCGTTACCTCCTCCGTATTTCGACCAAATAATCATCTATCGAAAAAAAACCTTTGTATCGGATAGATAAATTGAATTTCATGCATTCAGATTTCTTGAAAAGTATACAAAGGATATCCTATTTCTGGAATTATACGGAAGAGAATTACTCCAAGAATTAGTTCAAATGAAAAATTATAAAGAAAGTAATAAACTCTTCGATTTTATTATTAGTTTCAGAAAGGCAATAGTTGTACCAACTTATTAGGTATTGTTACCTATAATCCTATAGAATTGGAATTCTTTGACAATTTTACAGAACGTTTTTAATCTTCAACTGCTTTTTTAATTCCTGACTATTGTGATTCATTATGAATACCCTAAATCCTAAAATAACCGTTAAGTTAATGATGCCTTCGCATAATTTTGCCACCTACCCTAAAAAAAACAATTCTATTTATAAAGAGTTAATTTCTCCACCTGTCAACCCTTTTACTTCATTAAATTCTCCTGAGTACAGTATTATAAATGGCCGAATATTAACGCGATTGTCAATTTTAAGAGGAACACGTATGGGAGATATTACCATTATTCCATGTGGACATTGTACTCGATATTTTTACTGTTTTTCCATAGTTACAACACTTCCACAGAATAATCTTTCACAAAAAAATAAGGATGCACTTTATGGATAACAATAATTCTTGGATTTTTTCAGTTTACTTTTGAAATTCGACAATTTATCCACAATGCAAATCATTTTATTAGAAGTCCTTGGAACTGGCTGGTTTGTATAATTCATCTTAGCAAATATTTATTATAAGTTTTAATTTAATTTAATTGCAGACACTGCCGCTTTATTATTTCCTACCATAACTTCAATTATGTGGCTACTTAATGAAAACCCGCTACTATGGATTGTCGATATTGTAACACGGGAAAAAGTAACGCACCTCACACTGAATTCTGGGTTCCCCACGATATTGGGAAGAAAACAGCGGTATCAAACACAATAAGCGTGATAGAAACTAGCGCGAACCTGAGAAGATGGGAACTGTTAGAAGGAAGTCGGATCACGACACAATCGCAACGATTGCCACGTGACTGGGTCGTGCAAGGATCAATCATGGCACTATGGGATCGAACAATAGAATTATGTAATAAGAATAGCGTGAAAATCAAATAGCGATTACTTCGTCATGAGAATTTTTAATAGTTTTCCTTAATTTGTATTTATCATTTTTATTATGTAATAAGTGTGCAAGAATGTATAAAAGAAGGAAGAAATGAAATAAAGGAAGAGGGAGGAAGCGAAGTTATCATCTCTCGGCCATAATCAAATCCGCCTCACCATAAACACTTACTGTCGTTACGCGAATTTAACTTCCCATTAGCGACAGACTCGCCGATCACCGTGACAATATGTCGACATTTGTACTTGAACTCAAATTCTTAACTTTTTTCCGTGCTCTTGATTACTACGGAACATATTTTGCAATCATGGTTGGAGTAATACAACAAATTTACTAATTTATTATAATTTTGGGTATTATTTTTTTTTTGCATTTTCTCATTATTTATACCTCCTATTGAGACCTACTACCGAATTTAATTTCGATGAACCAAGTTACAACAATGATGATAATAATCCTTGGAATCTTGCTTCAAAATACCAATCTATTTCCTCCGATGGCGTTATTGGAAATCCATCCCTTATTGCAACTCCAAGTGACAACACAAACTTGTTTTCATTATTTAATAGTTGTTTGTTGGCCGTTTATTTTATGTTAACAGGTAATATATAATATGATACATATTATAATATTGAATACAAATCAAATCACTAATTTTACATACTATTAGGAGACAGAAGTTTAGTCTCGCCATGAAATTTGAAAGAGATAATAATTAATTTTTTGCTTACTACAACACTACATCTAATTCAAAAATAACTCTTTCGATATTGGAGGTTGATACACCAACCCCACCCACGCTATTGCGACAGTTTGTGTAATAAGAAGCAATCATAGAAGAGGAATACTAAGTAATAGAGGAAGAAAAGTAAATATATAATATAGTACTTTCTTATCAGATCTCTCTTGTATTGCTTTTACTCCTGCCCAAAAAAGTTGAATTCCAAAGACGATAGAATGTAAATATAGTAAAATATTTAATAATATCATTATTTTTATTTTTTTGCGTCGCATCAAGTATATTGAAGGTTATAGCAACAAGTAATATAAGTTGAGCAATTATTAAATTTACGTAGTATCTCTATTTTAAAGGTGAAAAAAAACGTCGAAAAAACTATTATAATTTTAATAATGTCTAGTAAAGTCTCGATGATGAATATATAGTTTATAACATACTCCTCTTTTACGCTCTTCTTTCCTTCCTTCTTTCCTTCCTTCTTCCTTTCCTTCTTTCCTTCCTTCTTCCTTTCCTTTCTTCTTTCTTTGACTAAGTACCTTCAAAAAAGTAACTTTTTCTGTATCACTTAAGCTATTACATATTTGTAATTCTTCTGGACTCAACTTCGAAATCACGCCTTCTTCAACATTAACTAAAATGACGGTACTAGTCGTTAGTAAACTCAATTAGACTGGATAACTACGTTTATTAAGACAAACCATTATCTTGTACTGCGATAATAACATCAATTCCTGAATATATACTCTACAACCTTGATATTCGTCCATTGAATGTATTTGAGAGCGTCAGAAAATGATACAGTATTGATCGCCATTTGTATTGTATGTGGGATGACGACCCGAATGCAAATCTGTCGTCATATTTTTTTTTAGCTCGCTACTCGAGTGACGACACACACATGATCATACATAATATTATGTTATTCCTACAGCTTAAAATATTTTTATCAAATATTAATTAGTTATTCGGCAGGTACTGCCGAATAACTGTGATATTGGGCATAGCGGTTAAAAATAGTCTAAATTTAAAATTCCGAAGGAATTTAATAAATTAGACTAATTTTAACCCTTGCGCAATATCATTAGGCACTTTAGTGCCGTCAGTTATTCGGCTGATTACCTGTCTAGTAACTGATTTATCAGGTGATTAACGTTGATTTCCTTACACTGCCGAATATCAGTTTTATTCGGCAGGGAAATCATAAGTAAATGTCCGATAAGAATAAATATTGGATTTTCTATTTTGAAATATTATAATATTTCAAAAAAATTAAATATATTGAAATTTAAAGTATTATATAATATTAAATAAGTACTGTAAATTTTTTTTTGTAACAAATATCTTTTAAAATAAGTATATGCAAATTTGCTTGTATACAAAACTTTCTTTTGATTATATTTATTTTGCTAAAAAAATTTTTTTATAATAAATAACTTTTGACAAGAAAAAATACTTTACTCTCTTTATTACAATTAAATCTTAGCTTAAGAATCCAAAAGTCTTTAATACAACTAATGCAGTAAAATGAAATAACCTATTTAGATTTAAAAGTCTTATTTTTTCTTTAGTTATATGAAGAAATGCATATGATAGCTTTTTTTTCTTTTGTTTTTTTATATATCCTTTTACTATTTCTATATTATAAAAATTACTTATATCAATATTATTATATTTACTAAACTAAATACTTTTTAAAAACATACTTTAACAAAATTATTAAATTTAATATTTGTTTTAATACTATATTTATATATAACTTTATTATAATAATATTTGCTATATTACTTTAAATATTTTTAAGATCTTTATTTAATCAAGGAATAAATTATTTACATTTTTCAAATAATTATTGATCTTCAATCATTCAATCAAGTTTTATTACTTTGATAAAACAAAAACCAAACCATTTTAAATTAATTTTCAATATAATAACAATAACAATAATCAAAACAATAACAATATCATTTATATTCTATTATTTACAGTATATCAAATAAAATTATATTAACAAGTAACAAAAAACTGAAAAAACAAAAAAAAATCATTTCTTATTTTTTAAGAAAATATTATCCATATGACTTTTTATTACAAACAGATACCCAAGCAAGTATGCAAATAATCTGAAATATTGCCCATTATTCTAAATATTCAAAATATTATAAATATTTAAATTCAATCCACAATATTTATCAAATTCATCTTATTATTATGATTAAAGTGAATTTGTATTTACTAAAGTAGTTTCATAAAAAATATTACAGATAGAAATACAAGCATTAGAAAATAAATTGATTTAGATATCAATATTACCAGTTAAGGGACATTTCCCTCCCATTGTTGTTACACATAATATAAATTGTATTATAAAAATAACATTTTGAGTCTTGATTAAAGGAAATGTCATGTGACTATTACAATCAAAATTTAATTAATTAAAAAATGTTAGCATAAAAATATAAATATAGTATAGAAAGTAAATAATACATTTCAATTTATAATAATTCTATATTATATTACTCTTTCTACTAATACTTTTTAATATGGATATTTAAAAAAACAATTTAAAAAGTCTTTAAGTGATAAATAAAAAATATTATTTATAATTATAACAATTTTTTTATTTTATTTCCAGATTTTTCATAGAGTTCAATATGATACTTATGTATATACTATATATATACAATTTTTTTCAAGTAATTAAAAACACTTAATTATTTTATTTATACTCACTATACTACAATATTTATCATGAAATAAATTTGTAAACTGATTAGAATTCAAATTAGACAATATTTAAAGAAGTTTGCCTTAAGATATTTATGTAAAATATTCTTTAAAATGATTTGATTTGGATAAATATACAAATGTTTTATAATATTTAAATATATTCTCTAAATTATTAAAAAAGATAAAATTAAATAGATTTTGTTTTAAATTTTATTAATTAAAATATGTTTATTATCTGAAAATTAAGCTTATTATATACTTCTCTTTTTTTATTTAAGTCTTAATTTCTCAGATATTATCACTAAGTCTTCTTATCAAAAGATAAAATTGCTATTGTTATAAAAAAAGTTATTTATTAATTTGTCATCTATAATATTACAATTCTTTAAAAAAATATTTATATAAAGTGTAATTAAAAAAAATTATAAAATTTATTGTATCATTTGTTGGTTATTTTTTTTATAATCTTTTTAAATTTTTAATCAAAGAATATATTTCATGATTTCTATTGTATTGGTGAGATATAATTTAAGATATTTGATACAATAGTATTTGTTTTCTTAAGTCTTATTAATATTAAGTTTGTTATCTTAAAAGTTGACAAGTTGAAGTTTGTTATCTTAAAAGTAAGAGATTTGGAGTTTGTTATTTTAATATGTCTAGATTCTCTTAAGAGCTATTGGAATTTAGATTGTTTTTTAAAAGCTGCTTTAATTAACTTTATTCTCTTAAAAATTATTTTGATTAAAATTGTTCTCTTGATCTTTTTTAATTTTTTGAAAATTGTTTAATTAAAATTGATTTTTATTTCATTATTAATTACTTTTATAATAGTATCAAAAGTTTTTGGTTTTGCTTATATATTTGTTTCTTGTTTTATTACTTTGTTTGGTTTGACTACAATTGTTTCTCTGAGTGATATTGAGATTGTGATTGTTCAAATGAATATTGGTAAAAAAAGGATTGGAATTTTGAAAATCACTATTGACTTTTAAAGAAAAATCAATTTCTACTTCTTATTACTGAAAAGATATTTTGTATACTTGAAATACTTTTTATTGAATTTAAGCAATTATTATTATTATAAGTATAAATAGGCTAATAGAGATTGGCAATATTTCATTGTATATTAGTAATAAATCAAATTAGAAAAATAAGTAATGCATTATAAGAAGATAAAATATTTTTGTATGATATAGTTTTTTATTAAATTGTTTTTATTTTAAATTCAGTTTATTTTTATAATTTATAAATATAATAATATAAAAAATTTTCAAAAATTAATAATAAAATGAATATATTTATATTCAAATTTGGCACTTCATTTTTTTTACATCATAAATCAATATTAATAATTATATTATTTGCTGACCTATATAATCATTTTTTTGTGTGTAGCAATAATTGTAACATTATAATTTTATGATTTTTAACATGTAATAAATATAATTATTAGTATAACTTTAATACTGTGACAGTTGATTTTACTAATTAGATGTTCAATTTGACTAATATATATAAATTCTCTTATTAAATTACTTTAGTCATCACTACCTATATACGTTATTTCTCTAAAATTGTTGCTAACATTTTATATTTTTTTACAAAGAAACTAACAAAACAGTTTCAAAACCTAACAAAGATAAGAAATTTCGACTTTTTTCTAATGCTATTATTTAATCTAATACTAATTACATCATTATTATTTTATTACAAATGCTGGTTTCAATATATAATTCAATATAATTTACAAAACTTGAATATGTTTCTATTTATTTTTTATTATATTAGGGACAATATGACTTCATATGCATAAATCAAATATATCTCACCTAGTAATATAAGTATTGTTTATCAAAAATATACAACCCAAGCCTTTTTTAATCAAAAGTAATAGAGAAATATATAAGTAATATAAAATAAGATTAGAAAAAATAAGTAGAAGAAAAAAAAAACTCTTTTTCATTCATTACAGATTTAAAGTTTATAGTATTTTATTTTTAAATTTTAAAAAATATCTAGATAAAATTATTGTTAAATTGTAAGATAGATATAAAATTAAAATAATTTTAAAAATCATGATTTGTATCGTATTTTTGATAAACCAAACAAATAACAACTCAACAAAATTATTACATTTAGTATTTTGTTAATTGCAAAATACAAATTATAAAAAAATATATCAAAAATAGATTATTTAAAATGGGGTTTTTTGAATTATCAAGAGAATTGATAATAATATTAATAATATTAATTGTTTTATACTATTAAAATTAATTAAAATCAATTTCATATTAAGAACTGGTTAAAAAATAATATGATAATATATTATTGTTTTAACTAGCTTGATATTACACGTCAATTTATAAAAAAATCAATTGATAAAAAAAATATTGCCATCAACATTTAACATTATGAAGCAATCGATATATTGTATTTATAAAAAACATTTTACCTTTTTTTTATTATTTAAACAATTTAAGGTGAATTATTGCAAAATAATAATAATAATAATAATAATAATAGTTTTTTTTTTGTTTTTTTTTATATCTAAAAAAATATTATTTGAAATTTCATAATTATTGAATTATTTATTTAACATAAAAAATATTTGTTCAGACTTTAGACAACCTATACATATACCGTATTTTAAATATCAATATTTTAAATCACACTTACTGTAATCATTTTCGAATACTGTAATTTAATTTTTTTTTTTTTTGCTTTGTTGAAAAAAAGTTTAAAAACATTTATTTGCAATGAGAAAAAAACAAAAGTGGTACAATATCGGTTAATAAAAGCAGTTATATATTTGAAATAATCAATGTATTGAAATCCTGTATTTCAGATTATCCTTGACAAGCTTCGGAGATCGTACACCATAAACCAATTGAAAGCTATGAACTATTTAAAATCGTTATTCAAGAATTTGTGATAAGGGTATAACACTGAGCACTGTTTTTTTATCCCTATTATAAACGCCAAGGTATTAAAAAAGTCAACTTTGTCATAATATTTAAAGGCCGATATCCAATATTTCATCTGGATATTATTTGTTCCATTTAAATTCAATTCGTGTTTTCGATTGATACACCTCATATTCGTTGACTATTTTCAAATTTGATCGTTGGATTCTATAAATTAAATACGTAAATAATTAATAATTGAAAAAATAAAGTTATAATAAATGTTGGATTACTTGCCATAAACATGTTCCTGGTTTCTTGGTTCCGGAAGATTTTCAAAATTGAGAAGTCGGCTCGTCATAGATGAGCGACTTGCATATGTTGCTGCACTGTCTCTGTTAGTGCAAGAGCTTGACGTCGTATTCGTCATAGTTGAGCGACTTGCGAATGTTGGTGCACTGTCTCCGTTAGTGCAAGAGCTTGAAGTCGTATTCGTCATAGAGGAGTGACTTGTTGCACTGTCTCCGTCATTCGCCTTTTCGTATTCCTTAATGAGTTCGGAAATTTCACATTCTTCAATTTGTTTAGCAAGTTCTGAATTTGGACACCGTTGATAACGCCGCCACTCCGCCAAGATACTACACAATTCATATGAACTTAATCGGTTTTGGGGTTCAGCATCCCAGCATTTTTGCATCAATTTAACTACCAAATCAGGCATGTTGCTTTGAATTTTAGGCCGGCGCCCGTTGCAAATTTCGAGAGCGAGAATTTCGTCGTTTGGATCTTTGCCGAAGGGTAGAACGCCCGATAATATTACGAACATAATAATCCCAAATGCATAGACGTCTGATGCTTCAGAGTATTCACCTTTGCGTAAAACTTCAGGTGCCACATATGGGGTCACACCATATATCTTTTGTTTTCCGCCTTTACCACCGGTAGTATAACCAGAAACCGGTTTGCACAATCCTAAATCTGTTATATAAATCGTGTCTTTATATCCAGACAAAAGAATGTTACCAACATGAAGATCTCGATGAATCAATCCAGCTTTGTGTATTTGACATATGCATTCCGCAATTCGGTATAAGCTAGTTAACTTTTCCTCCCAAGAATGCTTGCGGAACCTAGAAATATTATTCCAAATATTGCCATACTCTATAAATTTCATGACAATCATATAATCATTTGTTTTGTCATGTTTGGTGATCCCATAGCATTCCGTGATGTGTGAGGCTTTGCTTCTACATTCATGATGATTCTTTATCTAAATTTAATAAATATACAGTAATAGTTCATAAACCGAATACAGTATTAAAAATATTCCAAAATCAGTTGTATATTATATTATATTATATTACCTCGTTTAAGAATTCTTTAGAGGTATTTCGTGAATTGAATAGACATTTCAATGCAACATTTATATTTTTCCTTCTTGTCCAACGATTACCTTTTGCATTCCAATAAAGAATATTTCCTTCGGTCCATTTTGCTGAATAGACTTCTCCAAATCCTCCTTTAGCAATATATTGTATGTTTTTCAACTTTGAGCTTGGAATCAATTCCAGTACTTTATAGCTACTGGTTGCCGTTAACTGAGTTTCCTTTATAAGTTCGTCAATATTATTATTTCCACTTTTCCAGTTTTTAAATTCTTTTTGGAAACGAGTGGAGTTGCACGGTTGGCACCAGAAAGAAGTTGTTGTTGGTTTGCTACACTGATTGCACACTTTCCCTATAGAAAAATGAAAAAAATTAATTCACTGGTTGTACAAAAGTAAAAAAGTCATGCTTAAAATTTAACTCACCACCTTCAATATCAAAGTAAGAATGTAGTTATATTAGATTTATAAGTTGCACAAGTCAAATGATACAAGATTCAACTTACTCCCTAACAGTACAATAATTATTAATATACAGCGAGATGATCGAATCACCATATAAATTTGCGAATGAACAGTGAAAAATCATACCTCCTTGAAATCGAAAATAATTATATTGTAATTAGTCAATAAATTGAAAAACGGAGAGTTGATTCAGCTTACCATCTGCAAAATTCATAAACAAAGATGCGATAAAATCATTTTCGTATGAATTTGCTCAAAAAATCCGACAAAATACGATGAAATTTAACTTACATTCTATAAAATCGATGATTATTGATGTAATTTTTTGAAGTCGTTTAACAAACATTCTTTATTTAACTTACCATCCGCTGCAGTTAAAGTTATAATCAATGCTTTATGAGAAAAATAGATCAATAACGAAATATGCTTAATCCAACTCACCTTCTATAATAACAATAGAAATTGAATCATTCTTATATAAATAAATTCGCAAAAAAAAAAAACATAATTATACTTGCCCCCTACAGTATAAAGTTATTCGGTGCAAAGTTACTTTATATAATATTGTTTAGAAATAATGAAATATTGATTCCACTTACTTCCTGCAATATCGTGAATAAGATATGATTGAGACGCTTCATATTAATTAATTAATTAATAATAATAATAATCTACTTACTTGCTATATAATTAACAATAATACAGTATATGGTTAAAAAAAATCACGCAGCGCAAATTTGCGGATTAATGAAACTTGCATGAGAAAACTCACTTCCTACAAAGATAAGGGTTACTGATGTGATTAAAAAAAAACTCAAGTAATTTGCAAAAACGACAATGGATTCTACTTACTTCCTATGAGTAGGCATTTTCATGTTTAATTACATTAATATAAGTTTCCACAAAAAAAAAAAAACCCCCAGAAGAATACGATTTTCAACTTACTCGCTATAAAAATTAATTATTACAGGATCAAATCCTTTTACTGTACGTATAAATTTTCGAAACAAAATAGGCGTGATTAAACTTACGGTCTGTAAACAATTTAATTATTTATTTTTCATACTGTTTGAGAAAAATAGAGAAATGCGTAGGATTCTAAATTACCTCCTACAAATTGTCGGTTATTAATATAAGTAACTAAACCATTTTCTATATTGTAAATGCCTTTTTAACATACCATCTGTAATATCAAAATCGTAATTAATATTTTATACAGTAGGATTTCCGAATTATAATAAAGCATTTTTAATCCAACTTACTTGCTATAAGTCGACAATTATTGATAGAGTTTGATCGGTTATAATTTCGCGTAACAAGTGGTAAAAATATGTATGTCTGAAACAACAAACCATCTGCAATATTAGAATGAAATTTTAATTAAGCATGTCTTCTTCACTTATACAGTATTCTCTATGTTAAATCTGTTAAACCTACAATCTGAAAGTCAAAATAGAGAGATGTATTTGAATCTTTTTTCATTTCTTCCATAAAACAGATACGGTACAGTACAGAATAATGTACTTAATTAGACTTACAAGCTGTGTGTAAATAATAAAAGCAAATACGTAATTACAGTAAGTTGCATTTTATGTTTGATCATAAAAATCACGAAGATAGCATGTTAACTAAAAACCTACCATCTGGAATTATCAACAATAGGAATGCATTTGAGTACTTTTATACGTATCGAAAGATGAATAATAAAATGTGATTGGTTTAACTTACAATCTTGGATTATTAAAAACAAGAATACGGTATATGTGAAACGCCTTTCATATGAATTTAAAAGAACAAATAACGAAAAATGGTGGATTCAAAATACCGTCTTAAATTTCAAGAATAAAAATACAGTATAACTAGGTGAACGGATTACCGTTAAGGTCCGAAGCATTAATTGAAAAATTTATTTATATATGATTTTAATTTATTTATATTATTTATTTA